AGGGCCGGGAGGGGGGCAGACGAGTTTCCCTGGTGGTGCCCAGAGTGGCCACCAGGGAAAGCTGGGGAGGGCTAGCCTCCCACTAGTTCGAATTAAGTGGCGACACAGCCCTTAATTCGAACTACTTAATTCGAACTAGGCGTTAGTCCTCGTAGAATGAGGTTTACCTAGTTCGAATTAAGTTCGAACTAGCGGTTTGCCTGTGTAGCGCCTATCAAAGTTAATTCGAACTAACGTCTGTTAGTTCGAATTAACTTTGTAATGTAGACATACCCTTCCTGACTGAACAAGGAGTGTCCTCTGGTGCTCTTCCTGTGATCACAAAATAAATGAAAATACAGAACATTACAGTCTCAGTCTCCAAGCTTTGTCTTTCAATTTAAGAATTAAGAAAGGGAAAATTATGTCTTTCTGGGTATTTGCACATTTTCTGAAAAATGTAATATGTTTACTTACTAATAAATTTGAATTTATTGAGAGGCCTAATTTAACATTGCATTCATGTAATTTTTGGCGCTTGATGTCTTTCTTTTCTCGCCTAGAAAAATGTTTCATAATAATGAAATTACTTTAACTCCTTAGTGCTTATATTTGTTTGCCATTGATAGAATATGAATTGAGGAAATCCTATTCCAAAGAGTCAAGTAATTAGTGTGAAAAGTTAATGGATGTAACATGCATATAAACATTTTCATTTTGTGCTAATAGGAGCAAGAGGAAATTGCAAAGAAACACGAAGAAGACCTCCGGGTTCTACATCAGAAGTTAGATTTGCATGCTGATAGTTCACTTAATAAATTCAAACAAACTGCTTTGGTAGGTTTTTTTTATTTGTTTGGGGTGGGAGATTTTATTCAGAGTTGTACATTTGTTTGTTGTTGTTTTGTTTTTGTATTTTGAAAATTATTTGAAAATTAACCCTCCACATCAAAGGAGCAGCTTTTCAGTTCAAGATACTACAAACATGAAGATAAATAAGTGTGACTGTCATTACATTAATGTATTATTATTATTATTATTATTACTACTACTACTCTTGATGAACATGAAATTGAAAGAATTTGAGAAAGACAAGTGAGAAAATAAAGGTCAATAAATAAACTTCAGAGTAATCATTGTTCAATTTGACCGGTTCTAGAGTGAGCCCTTGGACATGCTGATGCCTTTTATTTTCTCTCTCTTTTTTTAATCTTCTACTGTAAATAAAATAAGCTCCATCTTAATTATTCTTTTTCTAAAGGACTGACCACCTATATTTAACTAGTTATATAACTAGTCCTCAGCTAAAGAGGCCACTTACTAGTGTTTTGTATGGCTAACATTTGACTATTAAGAATCACATCACTGGCTATAAAATATAATGTAAAAGTTGCTGCTTGGTTATGTTTACGATTAAATTTAACATAATGAAATGACTGCAGAACTTCACCGTATAAGGTGTAGAATATTTAATATGAAGACTATTCTGTTTTTACAGGAGTTAATGAAAAAGTCTTCTTTATCAGTTCCCACAAACAAACATTTCATTCGTCTAGCTGAGATGGAGCAAACGGTAGTGGAACAAGACAACTCTCTTGCTTTGCTTCTAAGCAAATTAAAGAAAACATCATCTGATTTAGAGAAACAAAAACAAGTAACACTATTAAAAATCAGAGAGTTTGAAAACATCAAGGCTCAGTAAGTATTGAGATATACAATTATTACAATTCAAGTAATAATTAGATTGGACCAATCAACTGCAAGTCTAAATTTATTACTGTGTCATTTAAGATTATTATTGAATTGCATACGCTTTATTGACAGTTTATTAATATGACTGAAGAAACTAACCTAGCTGTTTATAATACCACAACTGTAACTAAAATACATATTGTCTGGCTTGTCATCAAATGTATAATTTGAAAATGTATTTCATTTCTCTCCCTTATTGAATGCTTTCTTCTTCATTACATTTTTGGTGCACAGAATGTAAGGTTTTGAATTGTCAGAAATATTTTCTTGTATATTTTAAATAGCATTCTGTACTTCCTGCACAACAAAGATTGAAAGTCATGAACATTTAGCCTATATGATAGGTTTAAGAAAAGGAAAATGTTATCTACTCTTGTTTGCTTTACTCATGTGAGTTTTTCCACTGATACTGTGCTTTTGATCACTGTTTGGTATTAATTCAGGAATTGGTATAGAGTCATAGAATACTAGGACTGGAAGGTACCTCAAGAGGTCATCGAGTCCAGTCCCCTTCCCTCATGGCAGGACCCAGTACTGTCTAGACCATCCCCGATAGACATTTATCTAACCTATTCTTAAATATCTCCAGTAATGGAGATTCCACAAACACCCTAGCCAATTTATTCCAGTGTTTAACCACCCTGACAGGAACTTTTTCCTAATGTCCAACCTAAACCTCCCTTGCTGCAGTTTAAGCCCATTGCTTCTTGTTCTATCCTCAGAGGCCAGCAAAAACAAGTTTTCTCCCTCCTCCTTGTGACACCCTTTTAGATACCTGAAAACTGCTATCATGTCCCTTCTCAATCTTCTATTTTCCAAACTAAACAAGCCCAGTTCTTTCAGTCTTCCTTCATAGGTCATGTTATCTAGACCTTTAATCATTCTTGTTGCTCTTCTCTGGACCCTCTCCAATTTCTCCATATTTTTCTTGAAATGCGGTGCCCAGAACTGGACACAATACTCCAACTGAGGCCTAACCAGCGTAGAATAGAGCGGAAGAACGACTTCTCATGTCTTGCTCACAATACACCTGTTAATGCATCCCAGAATCATGTTTGCCTTTTTTGCAACAGCATCACACTGCTGACTCATATTCAGCTTGTGCTCCACTATAACCCCTAGATCCCTTTCTGCCATACTCCTTTCTAGACAGTCGCTTCCCATTCTGTATGGCTGCATCTAGACTGGCAAGTTTTTCCACAAAAGCAGCCGCTTTTGCGCAAAAACTTGCCAGCTGTCTACACTGACCGCTTGATTTTGCGCAAAAGCACTGACGTTCTACTGTCCGAAATCAGTCTAAACTTAATAAGCAGGGCTTGACAAATTATACAATCTACTCGCCCATGGCGAGTAGATTGTAACCCGGAAGACCCGGGTTCGGGCAATCTGTGCATGCGCAGAACAATCTACACATGCGCAGATCGCCGGACAGCGTGGCATTGTGAAGCATTAATAACTACTCTCTGAGTATGATTATCCAGCCAGTTATGCACCCACCTTATAGTAGAGCCATCTGAGTTGTATTTGCCTAGTTTATTGATATGAATATCATGCGAGACCATATCAAACGCCTTAGTTAAGTCTAGGTATACCACATCCACCGCTTCTCCCTTATCCACAAGACTCATTATCCTATCAAAGAAAGCTATCAGATTGGTTTGGCATGATTTGTTCTTTACAAATCTATGCTGGCTATTCCCTGTCATCTTACCACCTTCCAAGTGTTTGCAGATGATTTCCTTAATTACTTGCTCCATTATTCTTTATGGCACAGAAGTTAAACTGACTGGTCTGTAGTTTCCTGGGTTGTTTTTATGTTTCTTTTTATTGATGGGCACTATATTTTCCCTTTTCCAATCTTCTGGAATGTCTCCTATCTTCCATGATTTTCCAAAGATGATAGCTAAAGGCTCAAGATACCTCCTCTATCAGTTTCTTAAGTATTCTACGATACATTTCATCAGGCCCTGGTGACTTGCAGACATCTAGCTTTTCTAAGTTATTTTTAATTTGTTCTTTTTTTAAATTTTATCTTCTAAATCTACCCCCTTCCCATTAGCATTCACTATTCAGGCATCCCTTCATCAGACTTCTCGGTGAAGACTGAAACAAAGAAGTCATTAAGCATCTCTGCCATTTCCAAGTTTCCTGTTACTGTTTCCCCCTCCTCACTGAGCAATGGGCAAACCCTGTCCTTGGTCTTCCTCTTGCTTCTAATATATTTATAGAATGTCTTCTTGTTTCCGTTTAAGCCTGTAGCTAGTTTGAACTTGCTTTGTGCCTTTGTCTTTCTAATCTTGCCCCTGCATCCCTGTATTGTTTATATTCATACTTTGTAATTTGACCTAGTTTCCATTTTTTATATCGACAAGCACACTAACACAGAGGGGCTTGTATCCAAATACGGTCTTCCCCTTCCTCAAAAGGTGAACACCATCTGTGCTTAGCAATGCTTCCTGGAATAGCATCCCATGGTCGAGGAAGCCAAAGCCCTCCTGGTGACACCATCTTCGCAGCCAGGCATTCACTTCCAGGATGCACCTGTCTCTGCCTGGGCCCCTACCTTTGACCAGAAGGATTGAAGAGAATACCACCTGCGCTCCAAACTCCTTCACCTGTACTCCCAGAGCTGTGTAGTCACTCTTGATCTGCTTAGTGTCACACCTCTCAGTATCATTAGTGCCCCCATGGTGAGTAGCATGGGGTAGTAGTCAGAGGGCTGGATAATCCTCGACAATGCCTCCGTAACGTCTCAGATACGGGTCTCCGGCAGGCAGCATACCTCCTGAGATGACATGTCAGGGCGTCAGATGGGCTCCTCCATCCCCCTCAGAAGAGAGTCTCCGACCACCACTACCCTACGTTTCCTATTCGCAGTGGTGGCAGCAGACCTCCCAGCCTTGGGGGTACGAGCCTTCTCCTTTGTTGTAGAGGGTGATTCCTTATCTCCTGTATCAAGAAGAGCATAACGGTTTCTTAGTACCACGGTGGGAGGGTTTGGAGCAGGGGTGGAGCACTGCCTGCTGCCAGAAGTAACCAGCTGCCAGTGTCTACCCTGAGCCGTCTCCTCCTCCACCAGTGGTGTGTCAGCAGTTCTGTGTACTGGGACAGCTACCTCAGCTGTCTCCACATGAACACTGTCCAGGAATTGTTAGTGGATTCGGATGCTCTTCAACCTAGCCACCTCCTTCTGTAGCTCTCCCATCTGTTGCCTGAGCAATTCCACCAGCGGACACCTTTCACATTGGATGGTCCCCCCAGCCTGGATATCGATAAGTGGGAATTGCAAGCCACAGTCCCTGCAAAGCCACACCAGGATCTGGGTAGAGGCATTCACTGAGGAAGTGGGTCTGGCCCACAAAAGCTCATCACCTAATAAACCATCTTGTTAGTCTTTAAAGTGCTGCATAGTCCTGTCTTTTGTTTCATGCCTATCAATAGAGCTCTGTGGATTAGTGGATACCAATTTCTATCTGTGGATATCCGCATCAACAGGCTCATATTCGTATGCACATAGAGCTCTGTTGGAGGCCATTTTACAAGTGAAACGTAGCTGAAATTATGACAAATGTGTAATATTTTTCAGCCTTTTCTAATCCAGCCGGAGTTTACTAAATTAAGTACTTCATGGCATTGCTGTTTATTACATTGTTTTATTAGGCTTGAAGAAAAGCATGTAGCTGAAGTGAAAAAGCTGAAAGATGAAGCAAATGAATTGAGGAACCTGTTGTCTCAGAAAGCAGTTGAATTTCTGCAAGTAAAAACTGAGTTAGAGGCCCAGAAAGAAGCAAATAACAGAGCACCAACAACTACAATGAAAAACCTAGTAGAAAGGCTGAAAACCCAGTTAGCCTTAAAAGAGAAACAGCAGAAAGTAAGTAATCTAAATTTATTTTATTACATAGCATCTATCATGAAGACACAAAATTGATGTAAAAACAAATAACTATGAAAATTATGTATAGCAAACATTTCCAAATTTTTTTCAGAAATGCCATTAATGTGTTTAAGAGATAGACAAAGAATACATGAAAATTGCCCTTTTATGGAGATATATTAGGGCTGTATAGCTTGTTGTAGAAAAACAAAATGGAGTTTGACATAGAATTTAACTTCTCTGTAATTTATGAAGCTAAGTTCATTGTTATGCTTCATCTGCTTTGTGCTTTTTAAACTTGGATTAACTGACCAACTAAGCTGCATTGATTAGATTTTGTGTTGACATAGTGTTTCATACCAGTGAACCTTGCTCATCATTGTAAATATAGTAGCCCAGTGTCTGTGAGTCTGTAATGCCCAAATGCTGGCTGTTCCCTCTGGGGGGGAGAGGGGGGCGGGGGCGCTGTTGCTTGAAATGCTGGCTGTTCCCTCTGGGCGGCGCTGTTGCCTGAAATGCTGGCTGTTCTCTTTGAGCGGCCCATGCTGCATGGAGAGTGCGGAGCCCAAACGGTCGCTTGCACCACTTGCTCCCACGCGGCGGCCCAGCTGAGCGGCGCAGAAGTCAGCTGAGCGCCACGGCGGGAGGGGAAGGGGGACGGGGCAGTGACGTGCGGTGTGACAGCAGCTCTAGGCCCCGCCTCCTGGTTGTGAACGTCACTGTTCTACTCCCCTTCGCCTCCCGCTGTGGCGCATATCTGACTTCTGAACTGCTCAGCCAGGCCGCCACGTGGGAGCAAGTGGCGCAAGCGACTGTTTGGAAAATCATGTTCAAATCATTTCTCCTTGTTAGATAAAATCAGGATCCGAACCATCATAGAATCATAGGGCTAGAAGAGACCTCAGGAGGACATCAAGTCTAGTCCCCTACCCTCCATGCAACATCGGGAGTGAGGAGCCCAAACGGCTGTTTGGGCTCCACAGTCCCCCGAGTGAGAGGCAGGGGGGGGGGGGGGAGAGAAAGGGGGGGGGGAGGAAGAGAGACAGAGAGGGGGAAGCAGTAGGAGGAGGAGAGAGAGACAGCTGGAGCAAGAGACCGGAGGCTCAGGAGAGAAGACCGACGTGGAGGAGAGACCTGAAAATTCCGTCTTATGACGGGCTAATTGGCTAGTTGTAAATAATATGTGAAGATGCCAATAGAGTATATGAATTGTGATGTTAGTATGGAATACAGTTGCATAATTTAACATATGTGAAAGGTAGTACATTTTTATTCCCTTTAGCTATTTTTAACATTCATTTTCAGCAACTTACAAACAGATTTGTTGATATTTTCAGGCATTGAGTAAAGCACTTCTGGAGCTTCGTGCAGAAATGACTGATAATGCAGAGCAGCAGATTATTTCTTTAGCATCACAAAAAGAGGCGTACATGAATGTTCAGCAGATTGTTGACAAACAAACAAAGGAGCTCACAGTAAGCACTAATTAACTTCCTTATACTGTGTTCTATGTTGTATTCTTAGTTGAAAAGAGAACAGTATTTATCATTTTGAGTATTGTAATAATTAATGTTGTACTGTCAAAAGGGAGTGAACAGAACAGGTGGTCTTTCTCCTGTCATCCATTTCCAGCCCCTGACAAATAGAGGCTAGAGACACCATTCCTACCCATTCTGGCTAATAATGGACCTATCCTCCATGAATGTATCTAGTTCTTTATTGAATCCTGTTAAAACCCAGGTCTTCATAACATCCTCTGGCAAGCAGTTCCACGGGTTTACTTAAACTTTTTCCCATTGCAATATATCTTTTTTCACATGGGGTGACCACATCTGCATGCAGTATTCAAGATGTGGGCATACCAGCAATGTATATAGAGGCAATGTGATATTTTCTGACTTTTAGTATCTATCCCTTTCTTAATGATTCCAAACATTCTATTTGCTTTGCTGCTCTCAGTCTTTTTAATCTCTCTTCATATGACACCCATTCCAAACCCCTAATAATTTTTGTTGCCCTTTTTTGAACCTTTTCCAATGCCAATATATCTTTTTAAAAGATGAGGCAATCACATCTATAAGCAGTATTCAAGATGTGGCTGTACTATGGATTTATATAGAGGCAATAAGAAATTCTCTATTTTATTCTCTCTCCCTTTTTGAATGATTCCTAACATTCTGTTTGGTTTTTTTGACTAGTGCTGCACATTGAGTGGATGTTTTCAGAGAGCTATTCACAATGACTCCGAGATCTGTCTTTTGAGTAGTTGTAGCTAAATTAGTCTCCATCATTTTGTATGAATAGCCGGGATTATTTTTTCTAATATGCATTGCCTTGCATTTAGCAACATTAAAATTCATTTGCCATTTTGTTGCCCACTCACCTAGTTTTATAAGATGCTTTTGAAGCTCTTCACAGTCTGATTTGGTTTTAACTATCTTGTGCAGTTTGGTATGATCTGCCAATTTTTCCACCTCACTCTTTGCTCCTTTCTCCAGATCTATAGGAACTTACAAATGGTCTTCTTAGTGATTATTTAAACATAGTACATTATCTAAATATAGTTGATAATATATGAAATAACTGAGTTGAGGAATGTCTATGGAATCCAGGAAATATACCTCCTTAACCTCAATATAGCTGTTTTACTTAGTTGGGAACCCTGAAAATAACACTTTTTAATTTATTTTTATAGACTCACATAGAGGAATTAAATGAGCAACTTACAAAATTTAAAGATGCCCTTAAAGTAAGTAAAACCAAAGAGAGCTCTTTGTTAGATGAAATGGATGATTTAAACCAAGAACTTCAGAAGAAGCAAAAAGCCATTACTAAAGTACTAAAAGAAAAAGAAGAAATGGAAAAAGAAAGTGAAGAACTGAAAAAACGGATAAAAAGACTAACAAACAGCATACAGGTACTCTTAGTTTTTATTATTGTAAAAATCTAGACATTCAGTCAGATATCCTTTTATGAATGTACTGTTTTTGTACGACTAAATATGATTATCAGGCAGACGGACCAATAGCAATGGGGAGATTTTGGAGATTGGAGGCAACAGATGCCAGACAGTGCTGTAGGTCTGCCAGCAAACTGTTGACTAGCACCTCTGTGACAGATGTCAAATGTTGATAGGGTCTGAAAGAGGTTCCTTGAATAAAATGAATGAAAGCTGCAGTAGATGGCTTGTGGAATTCACAGCTTGCAAGAAGAGACAACTTAAGTTATTGCAGATTGAAGGGCCCTCTTTTCTTCTTGCAGTAGGAGGTCAAGAGTATTTAAAGATGAGCTGAAAACCTAGGTGCATATGCTGAGAAAGGTCTTGCTCTTGGTGTTAGTTAGGGATGTGAACAACTAGTTGACTCTCCAATAAACAATTGCTTATCGCATAGTCGACACGCTAGTCGACTAGTCACTTCCTCCCCCCTTGCTGCCTCTATTGGAAAGAGGCAGCAAGAATGGGGAAAAGAGGTGGAGTGCTTCAAAGTGACACGGTGCTCCCCATGGCATTCCAAAGTGGCAGCATTTCATGGAGCCCGGGGTCAGCAGAGCACTTAGAGCCCTAGCTGACCCCTGGCTCCATGTGATACTGCCGCTTTGAAATGCCGCAGGAACCTGGGGCCAGCGGGGGACTGCTTTAGTCCCCCGCTGGTCTCATGCTCCTGTGACGAAGCGAGGCAGCCCCGCACTGAACCTACAGGGCCCAGCCAGGGTTACCTGGCTGCAGAGGCCCCTCCCCCACAGCTCTATCGAGCATGCCCGGGCTGCAGCAGGGCTATAAAAGCCTGGGGAAAGACTCAGTCTGGAGAGACGGCCGGAGGAGAAGGACCGGGGCAGGGAGCTCCCTCTCAGCTGTTGCTGGGGACGCCAGGAGAGGCGGAGAAGGACGCGGAGGCGAGTTGGGGCAACCCCGGGACTACCGACCGAGGGGATGCCGGCACGGAGCTCGCAGCCAGCTGGGCAGGTACAGGGGAAGGCACCCCCGGGGACTGGGTAGGAAGTGGCCCAGGGCAGGAGCGGGAGCTGCCTCTCCCGCCCAGAGAACCTCGGTGCATTTCAGCCGGACTGCCCCGCTGAGGAAGTGACCCGTTACCCGGTCGCTCACAGGGCCCTGGGCTGGAACCCGGTGTAGTTGGGTGGGCCCGGGTCCCCCTACCCGGGGGTGTGCCCCGCTATAACCCCTGAACTGCATTGTGACTGCGCTGTGGACTCAGGCCAGAGGGCCTAGGCCTTGTTTAAAGGGCCAGCTACAAATTGCATTGTGACTGCGCTGTGGACTCAGGCCAGAGGGCCTAGGCCTTGTTTAAAGGGCCAGCTACAAATTGCATTGTGACTGCGCTGTGGACTCAAGCCAGAGGGCCTAGGCCTTGCTTAAAGGGCCAGCTATAGACTGTGGTATGGACTCAGGCCGGAGGGCCTAGGCCTTGCTTATAGGGCCAGCTATAAACTGCATCGTAGCGGTGTTGGGGACTCAGGCGGGAGGGACCCGCCACAGCTCCCCACAGCGCTTTCACCTTTGAAGTGTAGAAACAGCCGTGTGGTTAGCGGTGACACGGTTACTAAAATGCTCCCCTTTGGGGCAAAGGCAGTAGCCAGTCTTGTGCACTCACTCTTGACTCCCAGCCCCACTCCTGGGGAACTCCCTGCCATCCCACGCTCTGTATGAGAGGCAGCAGCACAGGGTAGCAGGCAGAGGTGATTCACAAGAGGAGTCATTTTAAAAATCAGCTCCCTGCACATACCGGCTCCCACTTGATACAGAGACAGCAGTGCGGGGCTGCAGCAGCCCCTGTCCATGAGGAGGCCCACGCTCCAAGCTCTCCATGTACAGAGGCTGCTGAGCATCCCACCAGATCTCCCACCCCTCCCTTGTGCTGCTACCTCTGATACAGAGGCAACAGCGTGGGTTGGGGAGACAGGTGGTTCCATGGAGTAGGTTCTTGTTAGCAGGTGCTAACCATCCCTAATGACAATTTAATACCATATTAGGCCCAAATAAATGCTTTGTGGTGTTCTGAGACATTTTTAGCTGTGACTGCCAATTAAAGTGAATTAAAAGTTAACGAAGTTGTAGTGCACTTTGAGGGTATGTCTACACTACCACCCTAGTTTGAACTAGGGTGGTTAATGTAGTCAATCAAAGTTGCAAATGAAGCCCGGGATTTAAATATCCCGGGCTTCATTTGCATCTTGCCGGGCGCCGCGATTTTTAAATCCCCGGTAGTTCAGACTCTGTGCCCACGGCTACACGCGGCACGGTGTAGGTAGTTCGAATTAGGCTTTCTAATTCGAACTACCGTTACACCTCGTTCCTCGTTCTAGGACCTGCCAGTTTCCTTACTTTCTTCTGTCCTCCTCTTCTCAATACATGCTATACATAGCAGATCATTTAATGCTAATAGTAATGCAATTCCCAGAAGTCTTTGGATGGATTACTCTCAGAAATGTAAACAGCAGGTATTGGTGCTAATTTATTTTTGTCAAATGAATATGGTCTTAAAATGTTTATAAATTCTCTGTGTATTGTCTGTGCACTGTAGAAAAATATTTCTAAGGTCTTGTCTACATTATGCGGTGGATCGATGCTGCAGCAGTTGATCCACTGCCCTTTGATTTATTGTGTATGTTGAAGATGTGATATATCGATCGCCGAGAGCACTCCCGTTCTTCTTCGAGTGCTTGCTCGTGTCCATTCTGATTAGGTGTACGCGCGCCGCGTGCACGGATTCCGGAGCTTTTTTCCCTTAGCAGTATCCATAGGGCCAGCAGGGAGCCCCCTGGAGTGGCGCTGGTATACCGGTGCATATATATCCCTGCTGGCCCCTCCACCCCCTCAGTTCCTTCTTACCACCCATGACGGTAGCTGGAGCATGCTTCAGGCTGATAGCCTATCTCTTAGCAGCTTATTTCTTATCTGTTGTATTATAGTTGTATTATAGTTGAAGTTTTTATCTAGTTAAGTAGTTGTTAAGTGTTGTAAATATTTAGTTAGATAGGGGAGCAGCGGAACCCTCCCGTGAGGGGAGGGCATGCCAGGGCCCCAGGGCTTTAAACCCTGTGCTTCCTGCTCCAAACCTATGCCCTGCAGAAGTTTTTATCTAGTTAAGTAGTTGTTAAGTGTTGTAAATATTTAGTTAGATAGGGGAGCAGCGGAACCCTCCCGTGAGGGGAGGGCATGCCAGGGCCCCAGGGCTTTAAACCCTGTGCTTCCTGCTCCAAACCTATGCCCTGCAGAGATCCCCACTCCGACTGCTTAAAGTGTCTGGGTGAGGCCCATCAAGCTGAAAGCTTTGTAAGAGCTTTAAGCCCCGGACCAAGAAGGAGAGGGACTCCCGGCTGAAACTCCTACTAATGGAGTTGGCACTGCAGCCTCAGAGCGAGGAGCGGCCTCACTCTGCCTGCAGCGCACCGTCGGCGGCACCCCCCGCGGACCACAAGGCACCACG